CTTCAAAAAAAGTTTTTCAAAGCATATAACATAAGTATTCCATAAGTTTTGAATAAAAGAGAACGATCCCATAAAGTTTTCAAGTTTTTTTCAAAAAAAAAATCACCATGGGTCCCCCCTTTGCATTTGCAATTTCTCAGATTTCGAACCCGATTTTCTGGAAACTGGTAGCTCCTCAGCAAAATCTGGATACATGTTTGAAAATGTCTCATTCTCAGCTTTCGAATGATATAGGTCTCATACCGAAGTTCCACCCCCCGATTACAACCTTCCCTAGGTTTATAGTTATTCTTTTGGTTCTAATTTTCCCTTTATTCGTGTTTGTAAAAGTTACAAATCAAGAATGGGATAAAAAAGTAAGAATGATCACTACAAAGTTTTGAGTTTTCGATGATTTTCAGACTTCCATCTATCCAATAACCAATCATTTTTTTAAAGCCATTTGTTGGTTTTATTTATTTTTGTTCATTTTTTTAATTGACTTATTGATCGAATGGTCTTATATTAGTAATCAGGAAAAGTTTGTTTTGTTTCTTGATTTGAATGTAACTATTCAACTGAATTCAGATATGAGTTTGGTTTCTTTCCATGGTGGTTGTCTTTCATGATCTTCATCAGTCATACTCATCATATCATTTTGTCGTATTTGGCTCTTCAAAGATTTCTCATCTATTTTTTCCCTTCTTCGGAAAAATATATTGCTCCAAAAAATTTAATTTTAGCAGTGAGATTTTGTTATTTCGTGGTTTTTATAGTTTTTTGGATTATTATGTGGAAATCCAATAAAGATGGTGTATTTGAATACAGTGGTTTACTTGTAGGTTGATATTAGGTTGGCTAAAAAACGATATATTCACACCTTTAACTATAAAAATTAATAGAAAAGTTAATATCCAGGTATATTACATTATCTTGCACAGTGGTTTATTCTTTTCTGCTACATTGTACATTCCCATTGTTGTCAGTATCCGAAAACTGCAACATCTAGCGTCGTCAATTTAAAATAAGCGATACAAATATATTTTGTATCAAACTATAATCATTGTCAGTTTTAAGGCTGTGAGTTTTCAAAAAAAAAAAAGATAGCATTGAAACATCTTAACAATTTCAACCGTGTGTCAACTTTTTTCTTTTTCAGGGACATATAATTTTCTTCCTAATGTTTCCTACAGATGCATGCTTACTTGAACTATACAATACAATCTAGTCAAAATATTTCAGCTAATCATCGGATGGTGCTTTCTCGATATAATTTCCACTCCATTGACTATTCAAACTTCATATTTAATGTGTAACCAAAGAACTCTCGATATAATACGGAAAAAGTTAACGCTGAGCAATATCTATCTATCTGTCATCAAACGAAATTCAGTGGAGACGTATGTGCAAGAAGTTGATGCTACGACAGTCGCTTATAAAAATACAGTTGAATTATCGCCAAGATATCCACTGTTTTTTTTTCTGAATTCCAAATCTGCACAATTTTATCTTGCAGTTTGGAAATTCGAGTTTGAACGCTTGGCTTACTTTACCGACAAAAATATCTTGGTAAAAATTGATCCGTTCTGTACATTGAAAAATAGAGTTCCATATATTGAATTGCTCATTCCGAGAAATTAGGGAATACACCCGCTGGCGCCTATGAAACTGAGACAATGCCGATGTAGAGATACACAGACAGAACACGACACCACACCGTTTCGCTGGCATAACATTAAAAAGCGGGCTGTGTAGTTCTTACATTCCACGTCTGCGCCTCGTGTTGTGGTGTTTGCGGTCATCAGCTTTTGGCGATGTTTCTGGCCTATTTTCCAATTTTCTAATCATTCTTGTTACATCCGTTCGTTTTCGTTTTCGTCATTTTCCAACTGCTCCTTTCTAGGCTGCTTTTTCAACGTTTCAGAGTCAAAAATGGACGGATCGAAAGCATCGGTTGGGGTACCGGAAGACACCAAAAGCGAGAATCTGTGAGTTTTTCGAAAAAAAAATTCGAATTTCAGAATTCCGAAAAAGATTTCGAACTTGGAAAAAATGTGAATTTCAGCCTCAACAAGACGAGGCCGAGAAACATATCGCAACTTGATGATTTGGTGAAAGAAATTTTATTTATGCATACCGATTGGAGATCAATGTGAGTTTTTCAAAAAGACCTTTCACTCATGCCACTATTCGGCTGTTGGGTTTTAACTTCTGGCCAGAACTTGATGGGGTTCGGCTTTTAGACGGATAGTGGTTAGATACTGGTTGGAACGTAAGCCTACTACTAGTTCGGAGCCAATAACCTGACCAGAAGCCGCTGGAAGCGCCTGAGTGTATTCTGATACCCCGACCACTTTTGACCTAACCAAACTGAGAAATCTTCTGATTACTTACAGGCTGGCCATGCGGAACACCTGTGACAGCTTCCGCCGCTTCATTGACGGAAAACATCCAATCTTTGATTTGTCCGAAGTGGAAATTGATCTACGTGATACGCATGTTCAAATTGTGTGCAAAACTCATTCCAAAGAAATCAACCAAGTGCATTTTATGAAGCATGAAAATGGATGTCTAGTAGATGAACGAGAGAGGATCAGTCTCCTGGAAAACGCCAATTTTCTCGACACATTTTTTCAAGGATTCAAATTCATTTTGATGCAGAATTTTGCTTTACAAAAGCTAAAAATTGGTTATAGAAGCTACTCTCCGGATCATGAGGTGGCGAAGTTTTTGAATGAACTTGAAACAATTCTGAAAGCAAGAAAGACAAAACTAAAAGTGAATTGTCTGAGCTTGAAGACAAAGAAAAAAGAATATCATCGAATTATGTCTCTGGTTGCTCCTGCAAGCCTGAAGAGAATTGAATTGAACTTCTTGGATGTCGAAAACGTGGAACTGAGAATTTTGGAGCAGTGGAAGAGTGCTGAGGAGCTCATCTCAAACGGTTTCTTCACTCGGTTTCAGACGCCGATTGATAATTTCCTTCATTTCTCGAGACTCGAAGCGCATTTTTCGGAAATTTGTTTGCACGATTTACGGGAAATGAAAGATGTGAGTTTTTGGCTCTTCTCCTGCAAAATACAATATTTATCAAAGAGCATTTATCTTGATCAAGTGTCTTTCTTAATAGCCAAAATACAGTGCCGGACAAAAAGATATGAACTTTTGGTTTTACCACTATAACTTTCTTCGAAATAGGGCTTTTTGGAAAATTTTCGATCATTGATGTGAAATATGATACCACAGGTGATTCGCGAACAATCCGTTACGGACGCTCAGCGTTCGCGCGCGGNTGAAATAGGAACCGCACACGGACCGCACGCGACCCGTTTTCAGAAAACCATAGCACATTATTCCGTATTCCTCCGTATTCTGTCCGTTCGCGAACTCCATATCCGATCCGCTTGCGAATGATGGACAAACGGA